CAGTCCGGTACTTAAGCCCTCCTGCAGGTGTCCTGACTTTTTCTTAAAAATGGGCAAATTGTCCCATATTTTCTGTCTCCCCCCTTCACCAGTACTGGCGGGTCCTGATGCTGGCCGGATCCCTGCTCACCAGCCACTCACCCACCAGCACTGAGTGGGGGGGGTCCAGTGGCTGGTGTTGGGGTGGGTGTGCAAGGGGGCTGGTGGCGGGGCACAGATGCAATGCACAGGGCTGACCGCTTCCTCTGCTGGTCTGTCAATGCAACCCCCGCTGTGTGCCGGCTCTCGGCCAGCAGGGCCCCCACCCCCGTCCCATTTCTGGATGGGGCTGGCTGCGCACTGCAGTGGATGTTGAGTGTGGGCAGGCGCCAAGCGGCGGCCTCTCTCTGTCCTCTCCTTGCTTTGCTCCTTCACCCCCCCCAGTCCTGATGCTCCTCCATATCCCACCCAGCGGGGCGCGTCCCGCTCACCAACAGGCTCCTTCTTTTCCCCACTGCCTATGGCTGGGCTGGCACCCGGGGAAAACCCAAGACCCTCTGGCCTGTGCGCATGTGCCAAAGCCCCACCCAGCACTGGCACGGGGAAGCCTCTCTGCCCTTCAGCTAAGTTCTAGAGTGGTGTGTGTGTGTGTGGGAGCGATTTCCAGCCTGTTCCTGCCCTGAACCTGCAGCCTCCAAAGCAGCCCCTGGGGCACCCTCTTCACCCCCCCCCGCCTCGCCCTGGGTCCTGCCTCCAGAGAGCACGGGGCTGCTCCATCCCCTAGGCACCCTCCCCTGCTGAGCCACCTCTCTGGCTGAGTTCGCTGAAGCCCCTGCAGTCAGGTTCTCTGGGCCCTGGTGTACAATGCATCCTGAGGGCTTAACCCCTTCCTGCCTGCACTGTAGCCAGAGGTGGCTGAGTTATGTAGGTGGCCAGCAGCAGCCTGGAAGTGTTAGCTGCCTTTCGACACTGTGCAGGCAGGAAGGGACAAGCTGTTTCCAGCCACATGGGGGGGGAGGGGAAAGGCGATATGAGAAGAGATGAGCTCTGCAAAGACATGGGCCAGGTCATCGCTTCCCCCACTCCTCCTCCCCTGTGGCTGGAAGCAGCTCCGCTCCCATCCCTTCCCTCCCACACAGTGCCGAAAGCCTTCTGCTGGCCACATTCTGGTGTGAATCCTGGGAGAAATCTGGGGAGGGGGGGCATGTGGCCTTGCGTGCCCCACCCCCCCACGTGCTGCCTCGGGAAGACACAGTGCCAGGTACCAGTAGAGGCGGGTCAGTCCCGGGGGCCCAGCCAGGCATGTAGAGCGGAGAGTGCCGGGTAGGTCACCCTCTTCCCCCTACCCCGTGTGAGGGAGGTGTACGGGAGTGTGTGTGTGGGGGGGGTAGGGTGTGTGTGTGTGTGTGTGTGTGTCTCTCCATGTGAACCCTAAAGCCTTGAAGACAAGAAGGTAAATAAAAAGAATCCAACTACGTAGTATTTCTTTTTAACAGGGGCTCAGTCAACTTGATGGTAATTTTAATGTTTGTACTGTTTAGTTCTGATTGATTGCCATTGAACTCGCTTGAATATGAGTAATTTTACCAGGTGTCTCATATTCAGCATAGGGAAATAAACCAGGGGCTGCTCCAGCATGTGCCTGGGGTGGCAAGCCGCGGGGGGCGGCCTCCAGTCGCCATGAGGGTGGCAGTCAGACTGCCTTCGGCGGCACGCCTGCGGGAGGTCTGTCGGTCCCGAGACTTCGGCGGCAATTTGGCGGTGGGTACGCTGAAGGCGTGGGACCAGCGGATCTCCCGCAGGCATGCCGCCGAAAGTCGCCTGACTGCCGTGCTTGGGGCAGCAAAATACATAGAGCCGCCCCTGCCAACTGCTTGCTAACAGTATCATTTGGGAAGCTCAATCTTCTTTAGGCCTGTGAAGCCAAGACCATTTTTTGTGACAAATGTACTTTAAACCGGTTATTGCTTGTGCCAATAACCAAAAATAATTTGTTCTCTAATTGGTCTATATGTTAACTATTCAAATTTGTGTGACTATCAGGCCTTTAAGGTAAGGATCAATGGTCTTGGCATCTGGTTTGTTAAAAAAGAAAAAGTGTCTATATCAAGTAACATTCTTGCACAGATCAAAGTTTCCTTGACATTTATGAATTATTTTGTTTAGCAGTTTGCTCTCCCCTTCATATTCCCACTTTGAATGTACTATGGTTCCCAAAGCCTCTGATATTTTTGCCTTCCCCATTTTAGCTTCATTACCACTTGCTTCCAGGAAAATTTCAAAGCACTGTAATCATCTCTTTCAGTTCCCTTATCTAATGAAGATTCAGGGGAACTTCATTTGCTCTGTTTTTGCCAGAGATTTAGTTTATGTCTTCCCCCATGTAATAAAGATGTTGACATGCAAGAGTTCTGGTTACTGACCTGTCTTTATTAATTGGCCCCAGCCATCTGACATAGGCCTGTCTTATCAAAATTAATATCTTTGTTGCACAACAGTAGTTATTAGCCACTGGAGTCCGTGAATTCTGTTACACACAATGGCTATTGTTACTCACTGTGGATGGAGCATTCAATATTTGCAATGCACCATTATAGAGAAGGACCTGAACCAAACCCCTGGATCACAACACCCCAAAACTCTGGGAAATTTCAGATTACATCTGCACTTTGAAGCTATGGCCCATTATTGCAAATACCTTTTGCCTATTTCAGTGCATATCTTGTCTGCTGTATGTTGAACAGTCTGCCATCTGCAACTGAAAGAAAGGAGGAAGCACGTAGGTTGAAATAGAACCGAAGAAGGGATTAAAAACTAGTGAACATAGAAATCTTAATATTAATTATAAAGCAGGACTGTTAAGATCTAGGCAATTTAATAATGAGATCTCAACATATTCTGAAGAAGATTATAGATGATGGAATCTCGTGTTGATGTTGACGTATGAGGATTTAACAAACACTGAAGAAGAATGTGTATGTGAGTTCAGACCAATGCAAGAACCACAAACATGCTTACATGTGGGACAGACAAGATTGTCCATGACCATTGCAGGCTAAAATTTTGTAAAGATTGTAAATGTGTAACTGAAACACTTAGCAAAATTCTTCATCTGTCCTTCATGAGAAGTTCTTTAGAATTTAGTAGAAATAATGATCTTTCTATAGAATTATAAACCAGTGTAGAGAATGCTATAATGTAATGCTCTATTAAATTCTATATGATGACTCAAGACTTCTATAGGAACAATACCATTCTTCATTGCTTTTTTAAATAGTTTCTATAGAATCCTATTGGTTTTATGCCTATTAATTCTATAAAAGCTTTTCCATAAGGGAGAATAGCAAGATGCTTTTTAAATAGCCTTAAAAGAAATCCACAATGGAGTCCCCTTCCAAATGAGTGAGTTGTGGCACATATGATGAAGGAATTTTTAAAATCCCCCAGTTGCTGTTTTTCTTTTAAATGACATTTTACTGGTGTTTTAAAAATAAAGCAGTTGGGTTCTAGGCTTATGAAGACATTCAAAGAATGCTGCAAAGTTATTAGATGTCATTAAGTATGTCCAAACAGAAAGGACAGTCACATGACCCTGTCGTAGAAGGTCACACATACCACACAAAGCCCTTTTCGTGGTCTTTAAATCACCCTTGATGTTATGATTTGGAACACAGAAACAAGGGCAGGATAGGGATGAGAGTGTAATCATCGGGCAAATGTGCTAAGGCTACCAATTTATCAGGCAGGCATACTGACATTCTTTGAACATAAATTTTTTTTGGGGGGTCCTTATTATTCTCTAGCTGATATTGCAGTTTAACACATACTATTATGCTATAATTTACTTTATATAAAAATGAAGTAAGGTCTTTGCGTATGTGTGTCTGTCTGTCTCGCAGCACACTGGGAAGGAAGTTTGAATGGAAAATAAATGAAAAACATCTTTAGAATGTAAGTGCAGGGGAAATAATGGTCAGTTGGAGAATATGGAGACTGGATAAAAATTACTGTTAGGAAGCAAATGTTTTAAAAGAAAATTTTGCAATGGAATAATGCTGCACTATTATCTTAGACAGCATAAATATTTGTTAATGGCTCGGTTGTCAGTTAGGCATAAATTGTATTGGTTTCATCCATGTCACTTTTTTTATGATGCTGCACTGCTGTTCTGTAACCAAGAGTGTCGTCTTGTATAGTGAAAAGTAGTTAGTGTTTAGAAAGAAAGGGAGAGTGATTACCTTCAGTTTATTCTTACTAGATTTTAGACTATTTTATGATAACACACTGTACACACATATATCACACATCTACAGTCTAGTCTGCAGTTGTCAGCCCTGAGGTTGGGGAGAATGAGGAGCAGGGTGCTGTTTTGCTAGGAAAGAACAGCCTGAGAAGCGTGCCTAATCATGGGGAATCCAATTCAATATTCGTAGCTGTAATAGTGTCACACTGCTAGTGTTCTTCCTCCTCAGGTTTTGTGTGACTTGAACCTGGGCTTCTGCTAGGGGCTTCTTGTTTCCTTCTCCAGCATCCTCTAGAATGATGTCCACCCAAGGCAGCCTGTACAAGGCGCTTGCTCTGTCAGGAAGGAGAATTGTGGGGAAACGGTCTGTCTGCCTAATCTATCGTGAACCCAGCAAGAAAGGAAAATGATTAATTTGATTTGTTTGTTTTTCTTTGAAAGTATTTGTCACAGTGGCAAGGCATTACAAATCTAGTTGCTCCTTCTCTCCTTATTCTGGCCCAATGAGAGAGATTGTCACGAGCCACTTGAAATCTAGGAGTCAAATGTATTTTAAATATAAGTGCAGTTGTTAAAGGATGAGGAGTTCACTTCTACTTTCAGCAGGGAAAGAGAGCAGTGCCCCTCCCTGCTTCCTTTTACCTTAACCCCTGTATTATGTCCAGGAGTCGGTGGTCTTGTTCCAATTCCCATTGGATATGCATCACAGCCATCGCTACCACTGTTCTCTCCAAATATGTCAATAAAGTAACGGAAAGTTCCTCATTCTCCTTTTCAGGTAGAGATCACAAACGATGTACAGTCCTTGCTACTTGTGATGCTGGCTGTCATGGTGGCCAAGATGGTCGGTGACTGGTTTAACATGTCCCTGTATAGCTCCTTACTGAAGTTGAAAGGCATTCCCTACTTAGACTCTGAACCTCTTGCTAGCCACAGGAAAAAACGGTAAGTTTACTAATTTTACTGGTGTTAAAAGATTATGGGCCTAATTCTGCCCTCAGATACATGGGTGATCTTTGTTAATTTAGGACCTGATGCTCTGGAATATTGAATAAAGGACCAAAGGCAGGGCTTGTGCCATGCAAATACCACGGACAATGCCATGCAAATTAAATTACTGTGTTCAATACTCAGACATCACCGTGATAAGTGCAATAGCAATGCCTTAGCTAGCTAAGCTAAGGCATTGCTAGCTAATAAATTTGTTAGTCTCTAAGGTGCCACAAGTACTCCTGTTCTTTTAGCTAGCTAAGTAGGCAGTATTTAAAAGAAAGGGCTGATTGGTCTAATAGAGATTCTGTGAGACTTGTGTGGGAATCATGATAATTTTTCTGGTTTGCTTATTGGCTAATGTGATTCTTGTCCTGGAGCATAGGAATTGCTATGCCAGATCAGACTAGTATTTGGTCTAGTGCATTAGTCTGTCTTTGACAGCAGCCACTGCCAAAAGCTTCATCACTGTAGTGGACACTTATGTAATATCTGACCCATAGGGGGAAGTTATTTCCTACAGGTTGGCTGGTGTTGCAAGGCATGAGGTTTTATAGCCCTTATATTTTTATGTTGTCTAATGTAACTGTGTATTTTCTCATTATCCATATAAATTTCAGTTTAATTAGAAGTCCCCTTGCGCTTGTACTACGAGAGAAGGTAAAACTGAGTGTCTGATTTACTTTCTCTGTACCATTCATTATTTTTCTCTTCTGTAAACTAAACAGCCCTAATCCTTGTTCCACGTAATATTTGCTAACCAGGAGTAAAATAGAGCAATCTTGAGGAAACTATGAGGGAAAAAGTGAAAGTATTTATTTATGTATCGATCTGGGTTCTGACTGACTGAGATTATGTCTACACTTTGAGTTGGAGGTGTAATTCCCAGCTCAAGGAGGCATACCTATGCTAACCATGATTGAGTTAGTGCTCTAAAAATAAGTGTTTCTGCAGCAGTGCTAGCAGTGGGAGGGGTTAGACGCCTCAAGTACTTGCCTAGTGTCTCGGATGGGATTGCATCTTGGATGTGTAGTACCTCCTGCCCTGGGGGGCTACAGTTCTGTTCTTAGTGCATGAGCTTGATCAGAGCTAATGTCTACTGGAGCTGGAAATTATACCTCCAGCTCAAAGTGTAGACACCCAAAGTTTCTTTCTGCTTAACAGACTCATTTGAATTATTTTTAGCCAGGTCCAATAGCTCTTCATAGATGGCTACTGCTGTATTACCTATTTCCTCTAGTATTATGGTCCATTGGACAGTCTTGATTCCTCAAAGGAACCTTTTGAAGAATCAGAAGTTTCAGTGATTCTTACTGTCCATGCTTTGTCACTTTTGACTATCATTACATTTGATAAAAAGTCGCTATCAGGCATGGGGGTTACTACCTGCATTTGATGCAAGAGAGAGCTAGCAATGTGGTAGGAGGAAATCAAAACAATCTGCAAAATTATGGATGTCCTATGTATATAACATGGCAGATAAAATAGAGCAGAAAGGGAGATAAGGTCTCCCTTGGTATTCCAGTCAGATGACATGGCCATGGAAAGAATTACAGCTAGTTTTCCTGGTTCAGAGTGAGGTCTCATACATTTGAAGGCACAGACATAGAAAAATATATCATCTCAGTCATTTCACTCCCACTCTGTTCCCTTCCCTCCTCTTCAGTCTCCTCCCAGGACCATTTTTTTCCCCCCAAAGAGCTTTTTGAAACAGCTCAGTTGCTCTGCATATTAATGTTCTTTTAAATAAGACACAAAAGATAGCAAGGTCAGTAATACAGAAACTAGTGATGAACTTACCCTTGAAAACAACTGATAATTTGCATAGCTGAGTTATCTACACACACACACACACACACACACACACACACACACACACACACACACACA